TTCAGTTAATGCCAGTCACCTCCATGTCACGAGAGGAGAGGCCGAGTCCCCCACCGGGACTGTCGCAGGGCACTCTGCTGCATACCCAGAATACAGACGGCCCGTGTTTTCAGTTTTAGTTTTGCCTGCCTAATCAGGAGTAGCAGTTTCTGGTTTTCTGCAATATACGAGTCAGGAGATACTCCTCTGAGTTACACCTGAGAGGACGGGAATGGTGTTTCCTCCATTTCGAAATCACACGTTCTTCCCACCCTCACGAGAAAACCCAGCGGCTGAATTTCCAGATGTGGGATCCACAAGTACTCCTGGCATTTACGGCAGTACTACAGATTTTTGGCAGCGTTTGTTGCGGCGTGTGAGTTTAGATGAGAACATATACACATTGCTATATTCATTCATTTGCCTAGGTTTATAGACAATATATTTGGACAGAAACACATCTCATTTAAAACAGCTGAGATTTGTTTTCCCTCTGGGTAACGCAGCTCAAGTGCCCTGTGTTGCTCTCAGGCGACCGCATCAGCTGGCCATTACTCCAAGGCAAGAAAAACAGCGGTCAGGTTTTGCCGTTTACGTAGACACGATGACACTAAACATTTCCAGAGAAAAGCTGGAACTAGCAGCAAAGGAGCCACGGGGCTCTGTCCGCAAAGGAGAAAGCCCTGGGCTCCCAGCACATGGGACGGCCCCCATGTACCCCAAACTTTTGTGAGCTCGGGAAGAGGAAGGAATATAACCACGGTCACTCCACAGCCTGATCGCTCAAAGGATCCGCGGTTCCCCACCGAAGCAAGCAGCTTTGCCATAGGCTGCGGTGGGAACCAGGCCGGGCCTTATCTGAGTGCTGTACTTTTTGCAAGACCATTATTTTTGTTATGATTTCCTTCTTTCTTCCCCACCAACAAATCTTAAAACAATACATTTGATGAAACAGAACATACCAACGGACAGGGTGCATCTAATCCAGGCGCTCCTTGGTCTCCCTTATCCCCTTTAGACCCTCTAGAGCCTTTCTTGCCCCTCTCCCCCTGTAAATAATAGTTTAGTCCAAGAAAAAAAAAAAAAAAAAGAATACACAAAAAAAGCTTTAGGATCATCCATTTCAAACAAATGTCAGCGATAGTTTAAAAAAAAAAGTAAACATTTAGGAAACATTTTAAAAGAGCAGCAATATCCTTTGGAGGCGTTAAGTGAAAAGACAACGTATGGAGCTACTGACCACTACTTAGCTGCATAAACACATCGGCCGCTGCTAAAGCCCCACGCCGATGGACTGCAAGGGCTCTGTGCCAGGGGGATTACAGGTGCCCCTCAACGCCACGGGCAGGCCCGTAGCCCACAGTCACATCGGGAG